GGGGCAGGAGAAACAGGACTTTAGATGCAGCATCTGTCTCAAGGACAAGTTCATTACCTGATATCCTTCAACCTGCCTGAGAGCGAGGCAGTGCACAGACTGCCAAATATGCTGCAAACTGTCCAATAAATCATCCTAATTTTTTTACTGCCACTTACCCTGGACTTAAATGGCAATTGTCACTTTTTTTTTTCTTTTTTTTTTGAGCCAAACACTTAACAGACAAGGACACAATGGGGGAGAACGATGAGCAGAGTGATGGGACAACAGGAAGTCAAAGTCATCGGGAGATTCATTAACACAGGAAGTGAGTGTGTGGTGAACAGAGACGTGTTTGGACTGTGAGGACAAGGCCGTAAATAAATGAAATACTGATGATTAACCACAGTTCAGCTGTGGATTAGTCACGATTAATCGTGACTAATTAAAATACAGTAAATCCATATTGGTAAATGTTTCTCTGTGCACTGGCGGAACAGTCAGACCAATGTCAGCAGGTAGAGGTCAGTGTTTCTCACCAGTTTTTATTCTGACTGTCCTGATCTCAGACCGGGGCGCTGACCTGAGGTTGAGCCTCCACAAACACATGCTGGGAGTTGATGATCTTGATGATGATGTTAAGATCCCGGTGAATCGGTCAAATTAAATTTTTTCCCCCACAGTGTGTATAAATAACAACATGACAATAAGTGGACGGACAGTGAACGTGTAACGTGTAATCTGAATATTTTGGCACATTAATTATCCAGATCAACACATTCATTTAGAAAGGTCGTTAGTCCTGACTTCTGTCTGTTTAAGAAAAAAAAAAAAACAACTGAACAAACCGTGTCAAACAAAACAGTGATTATAATGAGATGACCTGAGGGGAGCGCAGACATTTGAATGCTGCTTTGATCATCAACAGTGGGAGTGAAGCAGCAGAATTTAATTATTTCTGATGCCTTTGACAGATCTGACACTTTTATTACCTCAATAACTTATAAAATCCAATAAAAAAAAAACCTTTTTCCTGTGGCCATATTCTGACTATTGCAGGAAGAAGCTGAAGTCTGGGTTGATATTGGAGAGCTGGGACTTTATTGTTATCTAGAACGGGTCAACAAAAAATCTACTGTTGTTGGACGTCCATTTGACCTCTGTGTCCCTTTTTGAGAAGAGTCGGATTAAAAAAATCCATCTTTTGGTCAGTCTGTCGGACCATCCATCCATCCATCCATCCATCCATCCATCCATCCAGCAGTAATTGTTAAAACCGTGTGAAGGTACTACTCCTGTAAGTTTGAAGTATTTTTCTCACAGACTCGTCTGATTTGCCCACAGAGTTAAAGCTGAGTTCAGACCAACGATCAAAGACTGACCCGTTCCACATAGAAGCTGAGCGGTTCTCTGCCTCGGGGTTCTGGCTCCGTCCAGCTCAGCACCACGTAGGTGTTGCTCACCTCACAGGCGTGGACGTTTGTGGGTGGGAGAGGAACTCTGATCTGACCTGCAGGAGTAATGAAAGGGGGGGGGGGGGGAGAGAGGAGGAGGGAAAAGTTAGGACAAGATCAGTCAAAAATAAAAGTCTGAGACGCGCTGCTTGAGTCGATGTCGTTACTGAAACCCTGACATCAGCTTCTGTGCTGGACATGAGTAAAGGATGGGG